GAGGCTCGAGTTTTCTGCGGGTCTTGTTCGAGTTCGTGTTGTGGAGCCTAGCAAACTCCATGTGTCTGTCTGTAACTGCAACGCAAGCAAGTTTTTCCTGCCTGCACCGCGACCATCTACGGTGTAAGTAAAATAATCTTTAATCAACCGCTACGCGTCCGTGCCTAATTCTAGTCCGCCGGCCTGCATTCCCCGACCCGCGTGCCAGGGCTGCTGGCCACAGCCCGCCGTGCACCCCCGAGGGCCTCAGACCGCTCCCGGCCCGCACAGCTGTGTGCTCGCCACGCTCCCCTCACTGTGTGCCACGCCCCCCACTGCATGCTGGCTCCATGCAGCCTTGCAGCATTTCCTCCACAACCCTTTAAAATCTTCTTGGAACCCACTTTTGGGTCGCAACCCTTGGGTTGAGAAACGTTGCTATACAGAATGGTGCCTAACTCCAATACCAACAGCAAACAATTTCAATTAACCTTCCAGGCAAGAAGGTATCGAGCAAAAACTGAATTACTGGCCCATAAGCTGTGATAACAATTATACCACTCTCAAATGACTTATCTTCCTTAAAAGAAACCCAACCAAATACAGAGACTTCTTCTAACTGAACTGTAGAAACATGAGCTCTAGCTCAGAAAAGCTTATGAATCTCTGATTTAGTTAGTCTGTAAGGCGCATCTCCCTCACCTTTTGCCTGACTTCAGACTACCACATCTAACTACTCTCTGCTTTCTGGAGTCTGTAACTCTAACATAAAATAAATGTGCTTCATGCTCAAGTGTCACTCAAGGTCTATGTATTTCTCATTTGCATAATCTGCACTTTTGTAGATGCATTTTTTATTGACGACACCAAGAGTTCTGTGTATAGGACAAATGCAGAACACAGCTGAGACCTGTGCTAAGAACTGCAGAGGAGAATTTACTCTAAAATAATCCTGATTTTTAATGCAATTTTTTTTGCGCACATGTCTCACTCATGTCTCATTAAAAACTAATTAAAAAAGAAAGATTTCCTAAGTAATTGTATCTTACAATGTGGATTAACTGGTTTTATATGGATAACATTGACAATGATATGTCATAACATCCTTAATACATTGGTATATGTTGCTTTCATATTCTGTAAGGAATTTTCATAAATGATAATTACCCTTTTAAAACATAATTGTACACTGATGGCTTCTAAAAAGATTAAAATTATAGTGTTTACATTAACCCCTTTGAAATATTCTATAACTGATTTAAAACAAAACCCAAGACATTAATTTAACAAATGAAATATTAAATAACGGGGAATGTGGTAGCTTGGTGGTTTAATGGCAATGCATTGCTCTACCATACAGCAACCTGTTGGGTCCGCTCCCCCCAGTACCAGTGCAGGATTGAGGATGCTGCACAGGTCACACACAGCCTATGAACAGAGCACCATCTGTTGGCCTTGAGCAAGCATTTTTTGCTGCTATATGGAATTGGTGGGCTCTGAAGGAAATTATGTGCAGCACTTGCCGGAAAAGGAGTATTGCCTTGATGTACAGGCCTTTGCAGATGGCTTGCTGGGGAATAAATGGTATGGAATGCAAGTGATCCAAGAAGAGTCCCTCCAAAATAGTGTTAAAAGTCTAAGAAAAACCCACAAAAGATAAGAGAATCCACAGTTAGATTTAAACCTTTAACACTCTGGTTCTACTCATAAGACAGACATAGTTGGCTGCGCTGGTCTGAAGCCAAATAGAAGGAAGGATAGATTTGCACCTTATAACCAAAGTAGATATATAAAATATATAAAGATATATTGATCAATCAATTTATCTATAGCACAAGCTTTTGTAAGCTGATGTCAGGTTTGTGTTCCTTCATTCTGTCATGTATGGATTGCCCCATCTGTCCAGTGTAGATAGCAGAGGGACACTGTGAGCAGGTAATTGTGAATATGACATTGGGGAATTGCAAGTGAATGAACCTCAGATGTTATAATCCACATTATTTGGATTATATGGAGAAGATTACTGCTTCCACCTCCCAAGAAGTCACACAGGACAACTTTTACTTTCTACACAAGATCCAAAATCCCAAGACACCACACTATGGCAATCCTTGGCAATCCCAAGACACCACACTATTTTTGGAACTGGCACCATCATGGAGGGAGTTTCTGGCTGCATGGATACTATCCTATTTCTATATGCCACTAGAGCTGCCAGCTATTTAAAAGACACCACCAATGAAAGAAATCCACCACAGATCTACCTCAGGAAACACAAAAACTGGGCTCCCGAGAGGTGGATGTAGTAATATTCTCGTTTGATTCAAATAACACAGATTATAGCATTCAAGGTTCATTCACTTGCAATTCTGCCAATGTCATATATGCCATCACCAGGGATCCGGGTTTTCCATTTCCCATGGAAAAGCAGAGAAAAACACGGATTTCCCCCCATACCCGAGTAAAATGTGGATTTCTCATTTTAGCAGAGAAACCTATGGATTTTGCAGTTTTGCAGCAAGTCCTTTGCTTTGCAGCAGAGTTCTCGCCTGCAGGGGGCTAGGAGGGAGTGGGAGGAGGGCAGTCAGGCAGGAGATGCCATGTGCATGTATATACACATGCACACTAAGCAGCCTGGAGAGCAGCTCCTGCAGGTAAGTGAGGGGATTAAGTCCCCCCACCCCGAGCAGCAGGCAGACAGCCAGGAGGGAGCCAGGCTCTGTGCTCAGCTGGGGACCCCTCTGCCAGCGCACAGGGGCTGTGGATGAGGGGTGAGGGGGACCAGTAGGGCTGTGTGGGCTTTATGGCGGGAGTGAGGAACATCCGGAGAACCAGGGGACAGGCGGGTGGTGGGAAGTAAGGGGCACCAGCAGGACTGGTGGGGGGGCCTTTCATTTTAATCATGTTTTGGGGGGGTTTTATCAAAGAATTTGCAATTTTTTTTCAGAGAATTTGCAATTTTTTATCAGGGAAAACCAGGATCCCTGGCTATCAGCTACAGTGCCCCTCTGCTGTTTACACTGGATAGACTGGGTGATTCCTACGTGACAGAATGAATGAACACTAATCTGACATCAGCTACATGCAGGCCTGTGGCAGAACACTTTAACCACCCTGGACACTGGAGAGCTCCGTGCATGTTTCACAGAACTGTAATTTAGAGCACTTTTTATAGCACTATAAAGTTACAGTGCTTTAAAACATGACAGAAGTAGAGTGCTTGGTGTGAGGGGAGGCAGGGGGGTGCTGAGCTTCCCTGCACTTTTCAAACTAGGCAGCAGGGGGTGCTCCATAGCCTCCTCTCACTGCAGGAGACTGTGGACAGCAGCAGACCAGCCGAGGTGGAGCTGGACACAGGGCAGGGGAAAACCCGGGCCACAAAAACGGAAAGGAGAGCCGGCAGAAGCAGGGTAGAGGGGTGAGGGGGAAGAGGTGCCATTACGGACCCAGATCCCCTTAGGCAGTGCCCAGGTGCTATGCACTACGCCAGACCCCCAGCCATGGCTGCTCTGGGGCTCTGTGGTATGTAGGTATGTAGCTCCCCAACACGTGCCAAGCCCGGACACTTTTGTAACTCATCCAAGACCGTAAAGGCTCTTCCCAACTGTATCATACTATGCTGGGAGGGAGTAGATTCCCAGCTAGGCAAGATGGCATGGAGCTGGTGGCAATGCTCCCCTCCAGCCTGGGCTGCACAGAGCCTGTTGGCCTCCAACACAGAGCCAGCCTCTCTAGCTGCAGAGCGAGCCATGTCCCCCAGCAGGGATGCACCCTCCCCTCTCCGCCCCTCCTAGTCCTGTCTGGCCTGATCACTGCCGTCTTAGTTTGCCGGTGGGAGCAGGAGGGGTTGCCAACTTTTACAGGCTTGGCTAGTGCTCCCGGGCTACCCCTGGTGGAATCACCAGATATTTGACCAGCGTACAGAAGTTAAAGCGCTGTAGGTTGCTAAAGTGCTGTAAAATACAGTGCTTCAAATTTAATACCTCATTTAGCAAGGGTTAATTTAAAGTGCTGTACCCATTTTTAAAGTTCTGTTAAGTCATGGAAATAAAGCATGTGTACAGAAGTTGCTTTTTCACCATTTAAAGTGCTGTATGTGTACAGCACTTTAAACATGCATGGAGCACTTCTGTATATACCCAAAGCAATTTAAATGGTGAAAAAAGCAACTTCTGTACATGCTCATTCATCACTGACCTGAGAGTGGCTGTTCTCAGATAGCAAACCTTTAAAAAGCAATTTGAACAGGAAATTGTGGAAAAATAAATCAACGACAGACTGGATTGTGTTAAGTATGGTTTAAATGTGGGCTACAGATTCCTATTCCATTACCTGAATTAGCTTTTTTGACTTCTTTGCTCCTATGGACTTATTCTTTGCATGTCTGCCTTTCCCAGCACTCCCTCCCTCCCTTCTGCTTTTGTAATCAAACTTTTTTCTCCCACTTATACACAGCTTTGTGTATGTCCTTTAACAGCATCTGAGTGAGTTTCAGTTCATGAAAGCTTGTGTTATATATATAATCTACTCTGGTTAGTCTACAAGGTGCAAATCTACCCTGCCTTCACAAGAACAACTCTAGGTAGACAAAAAAGGCTTACAGGTGACTTACAAAAGTGCTTTTTCATTTAATACATTTGGGATCTTTCTAAAATCTAGCACTAAAGATTGAATCCACAACTTGGAAAACTATTTTAGTTCAACTTCCTGACTTGTTAGACCACACAGAAGTTGGGTCAGCAAGGGCTGCAGAGCCTTACAAATAAGTGATGCAGTTGTTTGAACTTGGATACCATATTCTCTGAAGAGTCTGAGGTAGATACAAATGGAGGGGAAGAAGACATAATCAGGCACATAGTCTTTAATGCTATAATTTTTTGTTTGTTGGTATGTCTAAACATTTCATTGTCATTTCAATATATATATCTATGCTGTCCACATGTGTATAGGCAAGTTTTGCTTTTTTAAAGGCTGCCTTTTAATAGTTAGCAAAGGAAAACTTGTAGTTGGTGTTTAAATTCAGGCAAGTTTTTGTGACAGGGCAAAAAATAGATGGAGGGAGAACAGTGAAAGAACAGATCAACCAAGAAAACAAAATACCACAATTAAAATAATTATGTACTGTGGAACCTGTGTAGAGTGAACTCTGATCATACAGCAAAACTCTTCTTGCACAGTTATTTTCTTTATAGCATGTTAGTGAATTAGATAAAAGTTCTAATTGTTTCAATATACTGAATTGTTTCAACATTGCATCCTGAGTTCCAATAACTCTCTGTTTAGAGAGAAATTAAAAATAGAGATAGCACAGAGTGCTCCAGCAAAAATTTATGGATGGAAGTAAATAAACAACTTGAAAATTATGCATACAGACATCTATCACCTGCATAAATGACCTGTTTTCTGCATAAAGATAGGAGGGAAAGTTTCCTAAAGCCTGTGTGCAGACTGTTTGCTAGTGCTATAAAGTGTGTAACACTGAAAATCTGTCCCATGATGACTTTATTCTGCAAAGAAAGGCAGTTGCTGCTGGAGAAGACTTCACTGTACCAGGGTTCCACTGTATTAAAATTACAGCAAATATTATTATCTAGTCCAAAAAGAACCAAGAACAAGTTAAAGGTAAGCATAATTTCCTTTGATCAAAAATGTAAAAACAAAAACGTAAACCTACTACTCACACTGGAGAAGCTTTATATCTATTAGGAGTTCCAGAGTCAGGAGAATCACCACCAATACTACACAGGCTACCAGGAAACTGTTGAGACTTGCACTGAGCAAAAATACTTGCCACACAGCTGCTCGTCTCCCACAGCACGGTTTTAGCCAGTTAGATCTAAGGAAATAAAAAAGGAGGAAAAAAAAGGAGAAAGAGAGAAAGAAAGGAAGAGGTAAAGAGTAATGGACTCTAAATGACAGATGCAGCCATCAATAAAGTTCAAAGACTTTCTAAATCCCATTTACTTTTATTGGCCTCTTTGTTAAGGTTAGAATCTTCTCTCATCAAATTTTCCAAATTAGTGTAAAGTAACATCCTACTTACACTTATCAGTTACACCATCCTCTATTTAATGGAAGTCTTTAATTGTACTTGCAGTATCACTGAAACTCACCATAGTATCTGAGTACCTCCCAACTGTACAAAGGTGACTATCACCTCTCAGATGTGCTTCTTTTTCTAGTCCCCTCCTCAAGGGGAAAACTTTCATGCATATTTCTTGATATATGTATTATGTGATTTTATCTGTAAAGGGCAGGGCAAAGAGGTATATTTTGCAATTAGACTGGAAAACAATGATGTTTGTGGCACTACCTGTGGAAGTGAGTTTAATGGCCTTGGATAGCTGTGCTACTTATCTGCAGTGACAGACTGATGGGGAGCATTTCCAAACTAGATGTGCAATGGTGCTTGCTACAGTAGCATCTATACTGTCATAAAGACCAGCAAAGGTTTGGGAAAGGGAGGTTTTGGGATAAGGATCAGTGATAGGGGCTAAGTACAGACAGTCAAAAAGCCCAAGGCTGAATCGATTCAGTCTTTGTAGGTTAGTTTGTGATGCAGAGATTAGATTAAACTGAGAAACAACTGGACACACATTTACCTTTGATTCAGGGAATGCAGTCACATGCCTGCAGTGGCTCAGGCCAGAAGCCAGGGGGCACTATAGCATGGCTCTCTGGTACAAAGTCAGAATGAGCTATGTGTTTGCTTCCCCTTCCTGCTGCCTCCCAGGTCTCTGGGATTTATAGTCTACAATCATAGCAGCAGGACTCTCCAGGGTTGCTCATCACTTCCTCTTCCTGCTTCCAGATGCCTCTGGGATTTGTACTCCACAGTTGTAGCCAGCAGTAAATTGAAGTAAGTTTAGCAACAGGGCAGCTCTGTACTCAGGGGAAGGTAGGTTTTAACACCCCTCCCTGGCCCCAGACCTCAGCTGGGGTTTGCCTGGGGGGGGGCAGCCCCCCCTTCTCTACTGGAGCAGACAGTACAGCCCAGCCCAGGGCTGGAAACCATACTGGGATGCTGGGGGACTCCCAATTTAACTTGAACCAGGAGAGGGTTTGGGACAGAAGTTTCATAAACCGGTTTGATCCATATCAGTTAAGTCTGATACTACCTTCAGCCAGGTATATCTTAAACCAGTTTCAGCCATTTTGAAACTGGTTTATGTGCACTGAACTTCTGTTCTGTTACAGGTTTAAATCAGTTTCTGATCACTTAAACATGTTTATGTGTAACTTCTGTCCCTAGCCTAAGTGGATGCAGTGGTTCTAACAACCTGTGTAACAGTGGAGAACTTCACAGTTTTTTTCCAGGCACAAGTGGCAATAATTATGCTGCACCCTACCACCTGTGGCAAGATGGATTTTTTCCTTCTCCTAGCCTCTGTGCATTTTATCCACACAAAGTGCAATTACTCAGGTTTTATAGGGGCTAATTTTGCTTTGCTTGGATAACTATCTGAATATGTAAAACTCTGTACATTAGCACACAGCAAGTAAATATGTGCATACATGTTTTAAGTGAATGCAAAAAAGGATTCTGTATATGCCTGGAAACATTGAAGGAACAGTTAGGAGATTTGCAGAAAATTTGATCCACAATACTTAATTTTTTCCCCAAGGAAATCCCCACAACAGATGAAACATCAAGAACTAATCAGACTCCCTGTGGAACAAGGGTTAGAAAGTGCTTCTAACACCAACTCCTTGAGTGCCCTCCTAATAACTTTCCTCTAACCGGGGCACAGGCATTCACTACAACCCTCAGCCTCCTGTCATCTGGGCAGGTTTTAATTTGTTACAGAAAATTCTGTTTTGGCCATTGGCTTTATTCTCCTTAATCACATGTACCAGTGGCACTCAACATTTTCAACACACTACACACAGGGAGATGAACTAAGCCTCACATGCAGCAAGTTAGTGTGAAATACTCTTCCCCCATTTTGCAAGCAGAGAAATGGAGGCATAGAAAAAGAACCAAAGAAAAAGAAAAGCTTGTGGCAGAACTTGGAACAGATTAACTCTTTGCTGAATAGTGTGCTCAGCACAGCTCCCTCAAAGGGGTTGTAAATTCCAAACCTTAGCCAAGTAAAAGTCAAGCTACAGAGGGTATGTCTGCACCACCTGCAGATTGTGCAAGGGAGCACCCTGGTCAAGTACCCAACCCCCTGCTCATGTGCCCTAAACCCAGAAGTGGATATCGTGTAAACTACCTTAGGAGTGGTGCTGGGTGTGCACCTAAAGGCATGGCTGAGGCAGAAAGTATTCTCATCTCCTCCTCCCCAGTGCCAATCTGCAATATGCCAAATATCAGCTCTTGGGGGAAGAGAAAGGAGCTCAGAACTCTTCCTCTCCAAGATGAGAATGGATAAGCTGGGAGAAAAGCTCAAATCATTGCCCCCCCCTTGCCCTCAACAAATGCACACAATTCTTCATAGGACCACGGAGAAGAGCTCAGATACCCTTAAATGGGTAGGGATCCCCAGATCCCCCAACAAAAATATACAGACGCAGATGCAGGCTTGGATCATACTAGAGGGACAAAACCCTGATCTCAGCTCATGTGGATACCCAGGACCCAGTCTCATATCCGGGGGGCAGGCTTTGACATCCTCAGAGTGACAAGGCCCATTCCTGGTATACACGACAGAGGATAATATGGGGCTTACCGGTGTGCCAGTCTGTCAACCACCCCCTAGCTCAGGGGTAGGCAATTATTTCTGGTGAAGGGCCATTTAACAAGTTTTGGTGAGCTGTCAAAGGCCACATGGGTAGCCTCGCCCCTTGTCCTGCCCCCTGGATGCCATATTGGGACCAGAAGTTCTGCTCTCTGACCCCTGACCTTTGCTACCAGAAGTCCCTCCCCTTGACCCCCAGAAATACTCCTTTTTTTGGGGGGGGTTGCCATCTTAGAACCAAAAAGATGGTCTGCAGGTACTCGACCACCTGGGCGACAGTGATCATCGCCTGCTGGAATTTACTATCCAGTGCAGGGTGGTGAAAGCAAGCAGCAAGGCAGAGGTCCTCGACTTCAGGAAGGCCGACTTCTGTAAGCTAAGAAGGTTAGTAGGAGAGGCACTGAACTCTTCGAGCTTCAATGAAATAGCAGTCCAAGACGGGTGACTGTTCCTCAAGGAGACGATCCTCTGAGCTCAAAGGGAGTCAGTCCCAATGCGCACCAAGGGGGGGCAGGAGTGCCAAGAAGCCCCATGGCTCGGCAAAGGCATCCAGGGATGCCTGAGGGCAAAAAAGGAGGTGTACAAACAGTGGAAGCAAGGGGCTATGACCAAGGAGGATTACACCTTCACTGCTTGGGACTGCAGGAAAGCTGTTAGGAAGGCCAAGGCAGAGATGGAGCTAGGGCTAACGACCAGAATTAAGGATAATAAAAAGTCCTTTTTCAAATACATAGGAAGTAAGAAGAAGGCACCGGGTAATGTGGGCCCCCTACAGGATAGGCTTGGCAATCTGGTGATTGTGGCAAACAAAAAAGCTGACCTGTTGTGCAAGGGAGCACCCTGGTCAAGTATCCAACCCCCTGCTCATGTGCCCTAAACCCGAATTTAACAAATTCTTTGCCTCCATATTCCTGAACAGGGACTGGGACATCTCCCCCACTAGCATTGTGGACAGACCCAGGGGAGGCACCGCCATGCCTAGGGTCCGGGATGACCTAGTTAGGGAACTTTTGGAGGGGCTGGACGTGTTTAAATCAGTAGGTCCAGATGCTCTTCATATGAGGGTGCTGAGGGAATTGGTGGGAGTCATAGCAGGGCCCCTGGCACGGCTCTATGAGCACTTATGGGGCACTGGCCAGGTACCAGAGGATTGGAAAAGGGCCAGTGTGGTTCCTATTTACAAGAAGGGGAGAAAGGAGGACCCTGGCAATTATAGGCCAGTCAGTCTTGCCTTGGTCCTTAGGAAGACCTTTGAGAAAATTATCAAAGAGCACATCGGCAAGGGCCTAGCAGCGGAGGTAATGCTTGGGTCCAACAAACACAGGTTCACTGAAGGCAGGTCCTGCCTGACTAACTTGGTTTCTTTCTATGATCAGGTCACAAAGTCCCTGGATGAGGGTGTCGGGGTGGATGTCATCTTCTTGGACTTTAAGAAGGCCTTTGACATGGTTTCCCACCACATTCTCTTAAAAAAACTTGGTGACTGCGGCATTGATGCCTACAGAGTCAGATGGGTGGCAAATTGGCTAGATGGTCGCACCTAGAGAGTGGTGGAGGACGGGTCGTTTTTGACATTGTTGACTCCAGGATGAACATGAACTGCCAATGCGAGGAAGCAGTCAGTAAGGCTAACTGCATCTTGTCATGCATCTACAGATGCATCTCAAGCAGATCCAGGGAGGTGATCTTTCCCTTCTATGAGGCACTGGTCAGGCCAAGGTTGGAGTACTGCGTCCAGTTCTGGGTGCCGCACTTCAAGAGGGATGTAGCTAGCATTGAGAGGGTCCAGAGGAGTGCCACTCGCATGGTCCACGGGCAGCAGGGCAGGCCCTGCGAAGAGAGGTTAAAGGGCCTGAACCTAGTCAGCCTCCACAAGAGAAGGCTGAGAGGGGATCTGGTGGCCGTTTACAAACCCACCAGGGGGGACCAGCAAGAATTGTGGGAGGCTCTGTTCCCCTGGGCACCACCCAGGGTTACTAAGAATAGCAGTCACAAATTGTTAAAGAGAAGGTTCAGGCTGGACATCAGGAGACATTACTTTACAGTTTGGGCTGCCAGGCTCTGGAATGGACTCCCAAGTGAGGTGGTACTCTCTCCTACCTTGGGGGTCTTCAGGTGGAGGTGGGACAGATATTTGACTGGGGTGATATGACCC